TATGTTTTACACATTATAATCTCAGATATTCACTAAAATTCATGTTTTTTAGTTTCTCAGAACATGACATATATAGTATAGCGTCTAGAATGTCTAGTTACGATTTTCTGACAAACCATTTATGCTTAATTTTTAATTGTAAATATTGAGTGTTGAACAACCAGGTCATACTCAAACCTTACGTTTTTTATTCAAAATTGAACCGTAATTGAAATGCTATGTCATCACCGTAGAAGTCTACTAAATAATCACCTATGTCAATTTTACAGTCTTGAATGGCTGTATCCTAAACCTAACCTAGCCAAGAATTCAATAATTTACATTTCTGTTTTAAATATCTATGCTAAGAACGTCTAGAAACTTTGAAAAATCAATCACCCAATATATTACGCCGGTTACTACTGAGTTAATCGAAAACATACTTCTTACAGGCGCGTCTAGACGGTCTAGCAGTCATTATAAATTCCTGATTTATACACACAAGGTATCATCAACAATATAATTTCTTCCGCCCCGAATTTCATAAGCTTCTGTAACACAAGACCCTGATGTGTCTTTTGACTTCAGTCATAGGTTTCAGGGTATTATTTAGAAATTTTTAATAGGTAGACCTTTAAACTACCATTAATCATTTTATTCAGCTCAACAGTAATTTCTCCTCTTAACACTAAGAACTTAATTAACACTTATTTATTAAAATACTTTACACAATTATTTTTATATCCTATTCATATAATATTATACTGTACGATGTAAATATATTATTAATTTATTTTCACAAATTACATGTTACTAAACATGAGTTTACGGGGTTAGAAATTACGATACTCAAATACTGTATAATATTATATCATTATAATCTTTTAGTAAGAGCAATTTGTTTTACTAAAAGATTCAAAAATTTAAAATGTAAACTATTGATGTACAAAATATTATAGAGAGCATTGATATTGTACATTAATTTTAATATGATTAAATTAGATTAAACCGACAGATAAGATAGTTATTATGTTTAACATTTTTTTTCATAATAATAATTATTATTTATATCGAAAATGAATATTAAATAGAATACAAAAATTGTTATTTATAATTTATCATAGTAAATATTTATTTATTTATTTATTTTTTTTTTTGTTAATTTTACATTTTAGTTTTGTTATTATAAAACCATATATTATGTAAACGGCAATTAAAATAGGGATAGAAACGAATTAACTGAAGTATATAGAATATTTTTACTATAAGTTTATTCTTAAAGTTTTAATTCGCCTTACTGATACTGACTATTGAAAAATATATGGTTTTGATCCATAAGACAGAGGAAACGCTAAAAATCATAATACATATTATTTATTAACAATCATAAAGTTTACAATTTTTGAGCAATAAAATATTGAATAATCGTTATTGAGTTTTATAAAAACGTTTTATTTTTTATTTTTTTATTATTTTTCATAAGTAACTCAGTTTTTATTTAAATTTTAATAATCCACTCAATTTGTTAAAGTAAAATTAGCCAAATATTTTGACTGAAAGGAATAATATTACTTTTCAGACACCAGATGTATGATTTCTTTTCAGATCTTTAGATTGTTTTCCTCAACAAACTTACCATTGAACCAAGTAAATTTTTAAAGCCTGTACGTTCGCATAATACTTAAGGTGAAAATATTTTTGCAAAACTTTTTAAAAGTTTATATTAATATTTGGTGGGTTAGAATCATTTAAATACATTAGCATATAAGATAAAAAAAGTTATTCAATTCACATATTTAAGTATTCTAAATTATACAACTGAAATTAAAAATAATTAAATACCTTACCTATATATATATATATTCTAATTTATCGAAGAATATAATACATAATACTTTATTATTGTAAAATACAATTGTTTTCTATATCATGGAAAAAATAATGTAAATATAATTAGAATATGACACATTTGAATGGGTATTTTTTGGCAATTAGTAAAATAATGGATGTTCAAAACAAATAAATGCAAAATAAAAATGATTAATGAAATGTATATAAAATATGACGACATGAAAATTAATTGGTATGTAATATAAATAAACGTGTATAATATATGAACAACTATAACTATTATGAACCCATCATATTTCATTATATTATTTAAATGAAATCTTTTGCAATTGTTTTATTTTAAGTGACTATTATTGCTGGATTATGTTAATTCATCGTGCAATCAATTATCGCATATTATTTTAATTTATCATACATTTGTTAAATTTAAGTGATCTATTAGCATATGGTATATCCCCAGATTATAAGTAATCTGTGTTCTAATTCTAACTATTAACAACGTAAGTAAATTATTTAACCATATTTTCTGAAATCTTGACATGGATTATAAACTCTGTCGCTGTTTATGGCAGTACATTTAGCGATAACATAGTGATGGTAATCGAAATGTAGAATAATTTTTGTTGTCTGTTACATCTAATAATCAGTTCTCAGACTTTTGACTACTGTCTATGAACTGTTTCGTTGTCACTCTATTTCCATGGTTTTATGTTAATGTAATAAAATTATTTTTTATTTTAGATTCAAATTAGATTTTAATAAAAATAAGAATTCATTGGTCTTATCATGATGTATATGTGTAAACAATTTCAAGTAGAAGGATTGCTCCAATCATCACAATTTTTAAAAAACTTCGATAGAAAATGTTGTTCCATTAAAACTTTAAAAGAAGATAATTTTTCAAATTAACCAACAATCTTCTAAAAAATTGTGAAAAATTGACGAAAAGCGATAAAAAACTGCAACATTTTCAACATACCAGTTGTCGAACAATCAAATTTTGGTTATCATTGTAACTTAAAAAAAATAGTAATTTAAAAGACTAGAAATATTGACTAAATGAATTAATGAATCATTAACGTTCACTGTAGATGGTATAATTTTCGAAATATTTGTTTGGGCTATTTATAGGAAATTTAAATTTTCATAATTTCTCAACTTTTTTTTTTCCAAAATGTATATAAAATTATTTTACTTTGATAAAAACTCCTAAAATTTTAATACACTGATCTTCGTACATATTTAATATTATTAATGATAAAAAATTAATAATATTTCAACAAAAATATTTTACGATCATTTAAATACTAAATGTTGACAAAACGATAAAAATCAAGTAAATCGGCTAAATTTTTATCATATATTTGAAGTTAGGTGATTTAAACTTTAAAATTGGATATAAGGATTTTTATAAAATTTTCATTGTAACAAAAAATAAAATAAAAATAATAATTATTAATAGGAAATCGCAAAAATACATACAAGATAATCGAATAATGAAGGTAACACAAGCATTATTAATTTGATAAATCATAAAATTCAGTCACACGTTTAAGTATTCCTGAAACGATATTAATATAATCTGTATCACACAACATCTGCATATTTTACATAATATTATACTTGTTTACGTACTCTATTGTTTAATCAGTTTTCGACGTACGCTATCATTTATGGAAATCATAAACATTGTATGTTCCAAATATATTAATTTTACACCAACATTTCTGATTTCTAAACTCATAATTTATAATAGAATAGTTAATATACATATATTATTAGCTGAATATTTCAAACTAAAATCGAATGCAATATATCTAATAATATGTTGTGATGACATATTATAACAAATACAATCTAATGTTCAAATACAAATGAAAAATTCCGTTATTCCATAGTTACGCTTAGATAAGCCGTAGGAAAGTACCGTCAAATATCTCCGTTGAACTATTTGGATATTATAATTTTCTTCATAGATAACAACGGCTTAGCCAAATGATGAAGAAAACAACAATTCGCTCGTAGTCGTAAAAATTATATGTGCCAAAATTAACAAATCCACGTAACGATAAGACATTGTATACATAGTTGTACTGTAGTTGCGAGAAATAACGTTAAAGTTAACCAAAAAAATAAAGAAAAACATAAAGCGAAAACCACATTAAACTTAATATTAAAACTATTAGTTTTCTTTAAATTGAAAAGGTTAATTATTTGCTTGTAGAGTTTTTTTTTTTTTTTTATATATCGCATTATATCGCATTTTTAAAGTTCATCTTAAATGAAAAAAATCAATATTTTTGTATTGAATTTTTCATATGAACCACGATGCACCAAAAACAGAAAACTAAATCAGTTTGAATCGAAATTTAATGATAGCCCAACGGTTGTAATCACGTGTCCGACTTCGTGGGTGTGCGTTAAACTGTGTTGCAATCGATCACTCACGATTTTAAATGGATTTGTTCGTAACAAGTTTAGTTTACCTAATCAAACTTAGTCCTCACCTTGGTATACTTGGTGAAAATCGGACGGAAACGACGAATAGTCGCCATACGCCGTTGCGAGGTTGTTTACAATTTCTCGTTTTAAAATAATTATTGCAACACAAAAACGTTCTAGCGCAAGATGAAAATATGTTTGTTACAATTTACGATTAAATGATAATAATGATTTTGGTGCTGAGCGGCAAGTACATATTTGTTCTATAGGTTTCATTTGCTAACGCGGTTGTCACATATTTGGACACGCATAAGCGCAATTGAAATGTTAGAAGCTGAAAGTTTCAAGACAACAATTACCCTCCCACGTATAGATACAAACTGTGACTACTTATCGCTAAGGGTTCGATTTTTTGTGGGAATATCGTTCCGCCAAACGAATCAGGAGTGAAATTTTCTCTCGACACCTGTTCATGATTATCATAACTTATTTATGGTTCAGCTTTTAATTCACTTGAACAGTACGCTATGTGCGTTTAGCTCTACGATTTCAATGTTGTTGTTTATGTAACAAAAATCAATAAGGAGAAAGAAAAATTGACTAGACCCGTGATTGTTTCGTTTGAAAAGAAAGCTGAACATAGCTGTTAAGCTTTACCGCAACAATATAAATTATGATAATCATAACACCGCAATAATATTAATAACAATAACGATGGTTGTACAAACTTCTACGGCGATGCGCGTTCTGCCGTACGGGGCTTGCTTGCGAATATTACACACGGAATGCACGTGCGTCACGTTGAGATTGCGAAAACATCGGCTGCGGCTGCTTCGTCGTCGTAAGCGGTGGCGGCGGTACCTGTGTGCTCCAGGTCGGCTACTAGCCGCCCGTCGTGTTCGACTGACACTATTTTTCTTGGGCCCGCGCGGCCGTTTCAAGTTTGAATCGACGGTGGCGCGTACGGCGAGTGTGTTCTCCCGGACCACCCCGCGCGTGCATCCAATCGTCGTTACGCGGCTTACGTTATACACTCGCAGCTCTTAAACGTCCGCGAAAACATAATAAGAATGATATCAAGAGTGGGCATGTCGAAACAAAGACCAAAAAAAAAAATTTTAATTAAATTAAAAAAATAAAATACATCAAAAAATTCGTATCATTCCGATATAAGAATAGGTACAACACCCCCAACCCACCCTCCATGATCGGCGATTGAAAAGTAGCAACGTCGATTTAATGATTTACAGATTTTTGATATCCATTTATTGAAATTTGCAGCACCCACGTGGACGCAACCACTAAAAGCATCGCTGTAATCGTTTGAGTCCAACCTGATAAGAACAGGGTTAATTTTTGACGATAGAAACGGAATAAAAAGTGTTCTACTGTCGAAAATCTGTTTGAATCAATTCAAATACAAACGTATAGTGGCTGCATCCACGTGAGCGCCACCGGTTTTAACAATAGGTTGACGAATCTCTAAGGAACGATAAATTCAATGATAATAATAATAAATAATCGTGTTACTCTCGGCCATTTGTTATTCCGTTATTATTATTATTTGATAATATATTTCTATTATAGTTCATCGCTTCTCGTCGTTTTTATTTTATTATTCAGAAAACAAAATGTATTATAACGCCATATAATATAATACATAGGTAATAGCGATCTGAGCGGTAAACATTCATATAATAATAAGCGCAACGTTACCCGCGTAACGGCCGGATAAATGAAACCATCCATGTACCTATACACACCGGTTTGTGCGATGATATTATTATCATGTATTGGATTTAGAATCTCGACGTCAGGTACATTTATTAAACTTCATGGCTGAGCGTTGTGTTGAAACCTTCAACTGTAAAAAAAATAAAAAAATAAAAAATATAAAAAAAAAAGGAACAAATAAAACGAAGCGCTGTGAGGGTGAATTTTGTATGTCCATAGTGACCGAGCGCGACGAAAACCAATGGATTTCCAATCGTCTAGATAAAAATAATGTATTTTAATTTTTATATTTTTCCAATAAACCTATCGCCACCACCATGCGTTTTCATTGTTTTCATATTACCATTGTTTTTTTCAACAGAAACCGATGGAAAATTTCATTTTGGCGAAAATAGTATATCTGTCGTTTTTCTTAAATCTTATAAATTTAAATGATTTAAATAAATATAATATGGTGCTTTTAATAAATTGATAGAAAAAAAGTCACTTTCTTCGTTAATTCATAATATTTTTTTGTTGAGCAAAAATTATAATGACTGATGCAATGATACATGTGAAATTGACACTTCAATGTATATTATATTTTGACAATGGCGAAGCACGAGTATTTAGAGTAATTTATAGTAAGTTAGAGAGACATTAAAATAATATGTTAACATCCCCCCTTCCCATTTATAACTTTATATGTATTTATGATAAAAGGGACACGGTCTTTTATTTTTTATTTCATATTTTTTTTCGTATAAGAAGTTTACTATTCCGTCATTCAAAATTTCATTAATTAAATCATCAGGCATAGTGGCGAATAACAATAGTACAATATTTCAATATTTAGATACGAATATCACGCCAGAAATAAATAAATCGTAAAATAAAAACCAACCAATAACTATATAACTATGATAACAAAATTGCGTTGAACGATAATGCATCAACGCAAAAAGCAATGACGATTACAATAATGTATATTAAATAGGGATGTGTAGTTCATGAGCTAGTCGACTCAGTGAGTCGACTCTTAAAAATGAACTGAACCAGTCGAATCAGTGTTACAAGAGTTGATGACTCAGTGACTCACTGACTCAGTTAAACGCATAACACACAACTGTACTACTGTAGATACACGGCTCTCGACTCTCAACTCCCTTGATAACGGTTTGTGAATCCGAACGGAAAATGTAATACCAACTTAAACAATAGTTCCCCTAGGATTTGGTTATTAATATTTCCATTATTTCTTAAAACATAATTTCTGACTTTCTGAGAAAAATTCGTAACGTTGTACGCTTATAGTCATAATTAGTTTCATATGCAATGAGCTAGTCACGAATATGGACTATGAACTTGTAAGTTGAATCAAGAGTTGAGACTTGAAGAGTTGACTAGAATAGTGGTAATCTGATTCGAACAATGTGTTGAAGAGTTGGGAGTCGACTCTTTGATTCAACTCATTACACTGAACTGAGTTGAAAGATTCAATTCAGCAGAATGAGTTGGAATTCCCATCCCTAATATTAAAATGAAATAATAAATACGAACGCGAGATATGTCTCATAGCGCAATGATAATCCCCACTCAATAACCTATTCCCCCTGCACACCGTGCCTTGAAAAACGAGACACTGCAACGCGTCGTCTCATAATATTAATTTTTATATCTGTATTTGGATGTTTATAAAATTAACCACTACGCCACAACGGACGCGTGCACGGTCCACAACTAATCTATTTTAAGAATATTTATATGGTATGGCACAAAAGTAAAACTATAATAATTATTGTAGTATATATCATATAAAAATAAATAAAATATAATAAAACCAAATTATGTATCCGTATCAAAAGTGGGTAGACATTGTCTCATTGTCTCCTATATCGCTTCGCCACTGTATTTTGATATGTTAAAGCAAAAATGTGGTAAATAAGTTAAAATTTGAATAGTTCATGTTATAAAAGAAAATAACTTATGATTGTAAAAATATTAGTATTGACAAGTATTCGTAAATAAAAATAATTTTAAATATTAAAAATATTGGCATGAAAAATTGTGAGTTAATACATTTTTTTCTTATACTTTTACTTAGATTTTTTGTTTAGTTAGTTGAATGGTAATACTTGATTTGAATGATAACAAGTAACTGATGTTTATAATAATAATAATAATAATAATAATAATAATGTTGCAATTTATTTGTATTTATATTTGTTAATGGCACAGGGCAATAATTCGTCGGAAACACTATAATTACAGCCTAAAAAATAGCTGTACACTCGGGTGCAATAGAGTGTGCTTTAATCAAATCTGATCGAATAAAAATCTTTTTTAAGGATCAGTTGATATTATTCGATACAAGATAAGTTGCTGTCCATATCTAAAAATCCTATTTGAATAATCGTAAATGAGGTCAATTTTTTGATCAAAAGGATATTAAGCTATTGACGTCACAACATACTCCTGCAATAAGATTTATATCAGTCGACTACAAATTAGAGGAAAAAAAAAATTATAACATTTTATAAATGCTTTTACCAAAAAAAATAGCGTCGGAATTTAGGATATAGAATTTTAATAACATAATATGTGATAAAAATAAATGTCTATTGTTCAAACATATCTGTATTGAAATAGAGCATTTCGATTCTTTGAACCATAAATTTACTGTTGGACAAACATTCACAAAAAACCAGACTACTGTAAATCGAGAAATTCGTTAGAAAAAAACCATGCAATTTTAACAAAAGGAATTTATTTATTTATTTTTTTATTTTATAGGAAGGTCTATTTTGGTAATTCTATTAAATTTAAAAATTTAAATCAGAATTTCATCCATTACAATTATAAGTGAACAAATTACAAAAAATAAACAATTCGTTATTTTATTGTACTTATTTGTATTGGTCGCTCATTTTGGACAATTTTTTTTTATTTATTTTATTTTAAAAAGATTAATAAGCAATTCAGATTTAAAAAAATTATATATAGGTAACCTAGCACAATCAAATATCACCAAATTAACCATTTTTGTTGATACTGCAATAACCTTATCTATCCCTGATTTATAATCTGTCATAAAATATATACAAAAACACGTAATCAAATTACAAAAATAGTTTAACTTATGGAAAATCAAAACAAATGAAAGTAAATGCACGCATATCACTTTTAAAATCAGCCCAAAAAATGTCCCTCTCGTTTTTCTCAACGACAAAATAATCCTTATGGATACCTCTGTCAAGTACCTATGTTTCCATCTAGATAAAAGACTGACTAGGGCAACCCATATAAAAACAAAACGGAAATCTTTAAACCCCAGAATTCACAAACTAAGACAACTACTCCGATCGAAAATGTCACTAAAAATAAAATGTTCGTTTATAAGCAATTGACACACCTTGCAATAACGTATGGCATTCGACTTTGGAGTACTACAAAACACTCTAACCTAAATATCTTTTAATCATTCCAATTAATAAACATTCGACTTCTCGCTAATGTACGATGGTATTTCAGTAATAAATCCTTGCATCGTAATCTCAATGTTCCAACGGTATCAACACTGACATCCTATAATTATAATAAATTTCACAAAAAACGCACTAAATTACTGTAATCGTCTCATCACTAACCTGGCATTGAAAACACTACCTGGCAACCCTCTTTATGGACTCAAATTAAAATGGCCACGTGTTTAAATCAATAATACAAACTAAATTGAGTTCATATAGGAATTAGTGTCAATGGACGCTCCCTAATCCTGTCCAGCATAGTAATAAAATTGTATACGCAATAACTTATAGCATTATATTTGGATACAGATCTAACATTTTCTTCATTTAAATTAAATAAAAAATTAAAAAACTAATTTAATTACGTTCAAATTTACTACACACTCATAATAGCACATTCTATAGAGACATTTTTTTATACGATAATTCGAAAATGTCGTTTACAATCATGATATGTTTTTGTATTAATAAAAACAAAATTCTTTATAAAAAGACAGATAACACAGAAGTACAGGTAATATACTTAATAATAGTTATACGAGTAAATTATACAATCACAAAATAATAGCATTCGATTTAACTTAATTATTAAACAAATTATTTTTAAACTCGCATTTATGAAAACTTGATTAAAAAATAGTAGTAACCTT